CCGAGAGCGCCTCAATCTACAGGTCATGCACATGAGCGTCACGCTTCGAGAGGCCATGGCGAAGGTACCGTCGGCGGCGCGACGACGCGCGTGAAGTCCAAGTGGTCGCACTTGTCGAGGAAGCCGACGATGGGCACCATGCCCATTTCGTTCACGACGAGATACCACTTGTACTCTTTGATGTGGTGGCCGCAGCTCGGGTGCAAGGCGTGGACTTGTGTCATATTGAGCGCGCGCATGTCAATGTCGGCGAGGATCGTGACCAAGGTCGAGGACGGCGTCGGGTACACGACGTGGATCGAGCCGAGGACGCCGCCGGCGCGGACCTTGTCAAAGCTGTACTCGATGGTCGTGGCCATGGGCGACGCCGCCGTGGCCACATGTACACAGAGCGAGAGTAGTCCAAGCATGTACAGCCAGCCCATGCTCCAGCCGCATGCTTCCGACGCCATCGGCCTCATCTTCGTGACGGCTTTATTTACGGAATGCACGGGGTTGAGCATTTGGTGGGGTCGATTATTAATATTCACTCCGGACGCCCCGTGTATGCAAACACCAAGTCTATCGGATGGCTCGGGATAAAAATACAATTGAATCGAGAGGAAACGGGCAGATCGTTTTTCTGCAGGGATTTTAGAAGCCGTCAATTTGAATACTAAAAATATTTTTTAACTTTTTGATCGCCTGTCGGTACTCGACAACCTCGTCGGGCGACAAGGAACACAAGCGATGCCACTCCCGCCGACGCAACCCACTACTGTACCGGTACTGTCGAAGAGTTCACTAGCAGCGACAGAGGACGCTCATGTGACATTTGTTCGCTGCCGACCATAGGCAATCCAAGACTATGAAACCGAGCCGTTATATGGTTTCGGCTGCGATCTTATTTGCTCGCAGACTCGATTGTTCACGTCCGTTGCGGCTCTCATCAAGTGATCTACCAGCGGTTACCGGTACTTGTACTTCCAGCACACGTGGTGGGTGGGCGAGGTGCCAGTACCTTGCCGGCCATATCTGCTGCCGTCGTCAAGCGTCATATCACTGTCGCTTGCTACCAACATGCAGTTGCGCTAGCTCACATCGCAGCACCAAAGCACGAGCAAGCCACAATCGTCTCATAGTATGAACTGTACTCGGTATTGTGCGAGACTCCACAGGATGAGCTGAGTCGGAATAGAGTGGAGAAGGCGTTGGCCGCCATCTGGGATCAAACGAGCGCTTTATATGTTAGAAGCATTAGATAAGCCTGCTTGCTAAGAACGAGCCAATCGGCATCGAGGTACGGCAATCTATTTTTGGCCTTCGACAGCCCCGGGCGTTGATGCGACGTCGGATCGCGGCCGGCCTCTGCCTGCTTGCGGCCGCAGGACTTGCGTCCGCGTCGCCGGTACTAGAAGCCAACGTGACGGCCGTGCATAGAGGCGTTGGTCGGCTGCCCATCTCGCGAGCATCAAATCTCAACGGCTCGTGCTGCCACGTAAGCCGCGAGATTGCACTTGGATCTTCTTGATGTCAATGGATAGAGCGTCGGGTCGCTGTCCGAGCTCGACGACGACGTCCAAGAAGAGATGGTAGTAGCAACCGAGGTGCTGCAGAGACAGCTCTTCATGGCCGCCGAGCACGCGCACAGAGTCGTTGGTGTGACCGCGTTTATGTGTGCGTCGGCGCTCTTCCTCTACTTGACCTAATTCCATGCCTCTATCCATGTCGTGCCACCATACGACTCGTTGGAGGCAGCAAGACGGAAACGAATAAAACACGTAGATAGTATTACATGGCGCCGCCCGGCGAGAAGCCATTGCGCGTCGAGATAACGCCCGTCGATGGGTCCCACCCGACGTTGGGCACTGGCAGCTTGAGGTAGGCAAACGTCTTGAGCACCTTCTTGCGCTCCCACGTCGTCATATCGTCGAGACAGAGCTCGTCATATCGGAGGTAGTCCAACACAGCTTCGAACGCCTTTGGGTTCACATCGATAAAGTACGTGTCTAATCGTCGATCGCGTGAGCAGGATCCCATCTCCAATGCGTACCATGGTTGTGGCTTGGCGGCGTGGCCAGCATGAGGTGGAAGAGCGAGTGCTCATGTTGCAACAACGTGTCTTTCGTCGTTTGAAACAGCGTGCCGCCAACGTTCAGCGACACGATCTCGGGTGCGAGGATGCGGCGATCCCGCACAGCCTTGACGTCATTGCCCGCGTCCGACGGCGCCTTCTTGGGCGGACGCACGTACCACTCTGGGCGCTGCGCTTCGGGCAGCGAGGCCATGAGGCTCACGAACGGTGCGCACTTGCGCAGGTGGCGCTCGACGCACGCCGTTTTGTTGTGGTGCATCACGATGCTGTTGCAATGCTTGCATGGCGCCCGCGGACCTTCCGCGATGATGTGCGCGTTGGCCTTGTTGGTGAAGACGCTCCATAGTGACCGCAGCGGGCGGCCTTTCCTCGGCGCAGTGCTGCTGCCCTCGGGCGACCCGCCGCCGGGTGATGAGATGTCGTCCATCTCACGCCGCAAATCCATCAACGTCGAAGTTGAATGTCGAAGTTCGAAGGTCGCAGGTCGAATGGCAGAGGTCGAAAAACACGCAACTTGGTCGGCGATGCAAAGAGTTTGCGTCTTGGGCTGCCGATCGGTAAGAGCTCCCTTGCAGTGTCTGCGAAGGATTTTGTGGTTGGCTGACCAGCCATACTACTTGTGGCTCCGACATCTCGTGATACCACGTCTATTCAGCACCCAGAAGAAGTGGTAAATGTAGAACCGGTACAGTCGCGGCTTGCGCACTAGGTGGCGCTATCGTCATGAACGGTACAAATTGTAGTCGCGCGTCGCAGCATGCGACCGCATGACAATAATGTCGCTTTGCGGGTACGACTAATGAGAACTGGTTGCATAGGAGCCGAAAAGTATACGGTATCATGATCGCAGCGATACCTAACCTCCAACATCAAATGGGCTCGTTAGGTTGTCTGCAATTCTCGTTGATCTCGCTGTGGTCGCCTTTGTCGGTTCTCTGCGCGGTAATATTACCATTGCACTCTGCCGGGCGACGGGCGATATGCATCCTTTTCTGTCTCGTCCTCGTCGGATGCAACAAAGGAGGCCGTCGCAGCGCAATTCGTCGTCGCAGCGCAATTTAACGTCATTCGAGTGGCGGGTTATCAGCGCGTTCAACATACTTCAAACTGGCGCGAATACTACCTTTGTACTACTACGTACTAGTACTAGTAGTACTTATGTAGCCCTCACACACGACTGTCCACATCGGCTGCAATGTGAAGCTCGTGCAAGACGATAGCAAAAGGTGTGTAAAGGCGTGAGATGAGGTTAGGTGTAGATCTTTAAGTGGTCGACGGTGTCGAGCGCATACCCATGGAGCTTGAGCTCGACAAGGAGGTCCCGAAACATCTTGGCCTTGGCGGGCGTGTCATAATGGTAGTCGTGGCCGAGCACAACGACCTCTTGCTTGCGCTGCGCGTCGCGGCCGCCCCACGCAAAGTTGCCTTCGATCGTCTTGAACATGGCGCATTTCGCCGCTTGCATATCGCTGAGCGACTCCCAGCGCCACTCGACGTCCCACCCAATCGAATACCACGGTTGGCTCTGGAAGGTCTCGTTCCGGCACGGCAGCGAGCCTCGGAACATGGCATCGGCCACTTCATTGCGGGCGCCGGCCTCGGGCTGCATCGCGTCCTTGTGACCGAGGAGTGTCGTCTTTTGGTAGCCCGGGAGCCGCCACGCACTCGTGCACGGCAGCCGTGCGTACGTCCAGATGCTAGACATGGCTTTTTGGTACATGGCAAACTCCTTGTCGTTGTCCCAGAGCGACTCGTTGTTGAGGGCCGTCTGGATACGCAGTGCGCCGCGAACCATGTCGGCGACCGGCGTGTTGCCGCACGACTCGTATTGCGCGTCGATCTTGGTGAACTTGGCCATGTTGGCGTACTCGCACAAGGCCGACTGGTTGTTGTAGTAGTGCGTGTTGGAGTGCGCAGCAAGGAAGTGGCCGGCCTTGATGGTATAGGCAAAGAGGTCGGTCACTTCGCTGTACGGACTTGGCGATTCGCAGCGCAATTCTTGTTCGTAAAACGTCTCGGGGCCGCAAAAGTTGTAGGACGACTCGAAAAAGCTGATGGTTTGGTTGATCTGCGCGAGCGCTGTGAGGAGGTTCTTCCGGCCCTTGATCGACGGTCCGTCGTCGAGCGTCATAAAGACCGTGTCGCCCTTCTCGGCCTTGCGGCTCGATGGACATGTGGGCTTGGTCGGAATGTCCGTGGCCGGCGGCACGGGCGGCATTTTGATGTTGTGCGGCGTCTTGACCTTGAGGACGGACGCAGGCGCACCGGTCGCGCTCGGCATCGGAATCACAATCGACGGCGGCTGCGGCGTCACGACCGCGTTGTCGCTGTTGTCGTTCGAGGCCGTGCTGGATTCGGCAGTCGTCGCAACGGCAATGGCTGTCGCGGCCGCGGCGACGATGACGAGCGCGCCGACACCGAGGAGGAGCTTCTTGCGCTAGTACGGAGCCAGCATGAGATAAGATGGTTCGGCGTCAAGAGGCCTTGTACCTTGCCTCCTTGGACTTGGCGGTCGACGGGCGACTCCATGATGGCCGGCGGTGTCTCAACGGGCGGCATGCTATGCGTGCAGGGCGGCAATACTGGTCTCGTCTCGAGAGGCGAGAGCTAGTTGGGAAATGGCATCAACCGAGCAGGTGTTGTTCGAGCGCCGGAAGGTCCTGTTGTGCTGTGTCACGCGACCGGATACGCCCAAATATTGGAGTGAATATGCAGCACCCTCCCGAGTAGCCAAGAAGCTCACGCGCAGAGCTGCGGCAGAGGATCTATGTCCCCAGAGCCATAGACTAGGCTATCTCACACTCGGTCGTGCGACGCGCTCGGCCACATCGTGGGTTGGCCACAGCGTACGTGGCTGAGCGTGGTCGGTCGGGTGACCGTTGATCTTGCTGGCGTTGACGAAAGGGCACTGTGATTGGCCGACCGTTGGATGTGTCACAGGCGCGTAATGAGTTTGCACTTTGCCACACGGCCAGCACCTGCACGACCAGTGCAAATCTTGGAAGCGCGTCGGTGCGACAAGGGTCGGCGCTCGATGGCGCGAGCGAGGTGGAGCGTAGAAATCTCTGCGTCCGAGGGGCGAGAGATATGGGTAAAGGGAACCGGGTTTAGAGTCGTCAATGACGCGCAGCTCATGCATCCCGACAGCCCGACGAGAGACGCCACCCAGCAGTTTACAGCGACAAGCAAACGACGCAGATAGTCAATTGAGCCCGTGCGCAACGCCACGGCGTGTGTATAGCAGCGTCAGAGCTGATCGGTTTGCGCAGGTCGGAGGTGTACCAGCCTGGGTAGTATCAGATGCGGTGCTATATCGTAGAGCCGCACTGATCACAGCTCGTGATCACTATAAGAAGGAAAATACTTGGTGGTTGCAAAGGAAGGCACTCTCCACTTTGCTCTGCTAGTACTACGTGCTCAAAGGTATGCTCTCGACGACCACCGCTGGTCAAGCAAATCAAGCCCCGTTCATGTGGCGTGACTCACTGCCTGATAGTTTGGAGCGCGGGAGCTAGTCGACAGGTGAGAGGCTCCGCTTGGGGCACTTGCGGCGCTCTTCTGCACCTCAACCCACCTTGGTGCACATATTATTGTCTGTCGATGCGATGCCAACACTTCGTTGCCGCGAGCTCAAAAACGACAGACCCACCTCGTTCCTGGTTCTCCGAGTGTACAAGAGGAAATTCCATGACTCTGTACATGTGTAATTCGTTAGTGTGTCTTGAGGTGGTCGATCGTGTCGAGCGCGTACCCCTGGAGCTTGAGCTCGACGAGAACGTCGCGGAAGAGCTTGGCCTTCTCGGGTGTGTCGTAGTGATAGTCGTGGCCAAGTACAACGACCTCTTGCCGACGCTGCGGGTCGTGGCCGCCACCAAAGCCTTGTTCAATGTTGCGAAAAATGTTGCACTTGGGCGGGAGGTTGTTGGCGCCGTCTGGACGCACCTCGACGTCCCACCCAATCGTGTTCCACGGCTTGCTCTGGAAGGTCTCGTTCCGGCACGGCAGCGAGCCTCGGAACATGGCGTCGGCCACCTCGGTGCGGGCGCCAAGCTCGGGCTGGAGCCCGTCCTTTGGACCCAAGAGCGTGATCTTCTGGTAGCCCGGGAGCCGCCAAGCACTCGTGCACGGCAGCCGCGCGTACGTCCAAATATTGGTCATCGCCTTTTGGTACATGGCAAACTCGTCGTCGTTGTCCCAGAGCGACTCGTTGTTGAGGGCGGTCTGGATACGCAGTGCGCCGCGAACCATGTCAGCGACCGGCGTGTTGCCGCACGACTCGTACTGCGCGTCGATCTTGGTGAACTTGGCCATGTTGGCGTACTCGCAAAGCCGCGACGAGTTGCTATAGTAGTGCGTGTTGGAGTGCGCAGCGAGAAAGTGGCCGGCCTTGATGGTATAGGCAAAGAGGTCGGTGACTTCGCTGTACGGACTCGGCGACTGGCAGTGCAGCTCTTGCTCGTAGTACGTCTCGGCGCCGCAAAAGTTGTAAGACGACTCGAAAAAGCTGATGGTTTGGTTGATCTGCATGAGCGCTGTGAGGAGGTTCTTCCGGCCCTTGATCGACGGTCCGTCATCGAGCGTCATGAAGACCGTGTCGCCCGGCTCGGCTTTGCGACTCGACGGACACGTAGGCTTGGTCGGAATGTCCGAGGCCGGTGGCGCCGGCGGCATCTTGATACGGTGCGGAATCTTGACCTTGACAGGAATCGTTGTCGTCGGCGCTGGTGTCGCGACTGGTGTCGGCGTCGTCACGGCAATCGGTGCCGTCGTTGCCAGCTGCGGCGACGTCGACACGGTCGACGAGCTCGACGAGGTGGTCACAACAGCGATGGCCGCGGCGGCGCCTGCGACAA